CAAAATTTCTATCGCGGTCAATTTTTGATCAAATAATAACCAGCAAAAATGCGATGAATTTTTGACCGCAATCGCCGCGACGGCGGTCAATTTTTCACCGTGATCGCGGCGATGGCGGTCATTTTTTTCACCGTAATCGCGGCGATGGCGGTCAATTTTCACACTTTTTGACCGTAATCTTCGCGAATGCGATCAATTTCTTCACTTTTTGACCGTAATCTTCGCGAATGCGATCAATTTCTTCACTTTTTGACCGTAATCTTCGCGAATGCGATCAATTTCTACACTTTTTGGCCGTATTTATCCAGAATGCGATACTATTATTGGTCGTATTTATCATGAATGCCATCAATTGTTTTACTATTATTGGCCGTATTTCAGCGGTATCCTTAAATTTTCCCTTGCTTATCAAATTTTATACCCTTGTATTATGAACAGTTATGTGTTTATGTTATGAAAAATTTTATTTATTTTTTATTAAATGTTTATAAAATAATAACGGCGAAAGGGATTATGGATTATGAGGTGAAATTACAGGTAAAATGGAAGGGTATTATACAAATAGAAAAGCTACATACCTAAAATTAAAAATATTAGTGGGTGGCTTATGTAGATTACAGTGCTATTTTATTTACCTTATCCTATCGCGTGCTTTGTATTGATACGTAAGAGTATTATACGAATAGAAAAGCTACATATCTAGAGTTAAAATTATTAATGGATGGCTTACACAGGTCACATTCATTTAGTTATTTACCTTAGCCTAGGCTAGCGAGAGTTTTGTACGCATTATATCTATGGACTACAGTGTTAGAGTATAATACAATCAAATATAATCACTGGCTTACATTACAATTGAATGGCTACAATCAAAAAGAGCAGGTTTAGTTAGTTGCACAGAAGAATATTGAACTTACCTTCACGGATGCGAGAAGTCCACTAACTAGTTTACCTTATGGTTAGGGATGGGATGGGGGCTGGACACCTCTATATTTACAAAAAAAATATATATATATTATCATACACATACATCAAAGCTAAATACAAAAAGATATTGTTGGGGAAAGAAAAGAAAAAATTTTATTTTAAGAAAAAATAGAAGGTTTTTTATACAAATTTTTTTAGTTGACTTTTAAAAAAACGGATCTAGGCATTACGAGACCGTTGACTTTTTCTTCTTTCACCTTCTGCATTTGAATTGGCAAGCTGTCTCTTCGCACCAGACACCTCCTCAGACACCTCCTCAGGCACCTCCTCGGGCATCTCCTCGGACACCTCGTCAAGCACATCGTCAAACACATCGTCAGACAAACAGTTGAGAATGTCTCTGCCAGAAGAGACTGACGGAGCATCGTCGTCTGGCATTCTGACCCGCCCAAAAGAACTCAACGTACTCATGCTGACATTGAATGTGGACGTGTTACCCAGAGGCTCTTCGGATAACCCCAAGCTGTCAAAGTTGTTGGACACGCCTGAGGAAACTGGACGTCGTACTGGCTGATCATACAATAAACTCAGTTAGATACCACATTATGAACCATTGTATACAAAAATATTACTTACTTTATCTGGGACAGCAGTTTGAATGGCTGAAATCAGCATACGACGTGCCATCCAGTTCTTGTCAGCACGGTACAGTGGCATCACCGGGGTGTGAGCTTCTGCATCCGAGATCATCTCAGCGGCGAAAGTTGTTGGGAATCCACTTATACCCACACGCTTGTTCCAGAACAGAACGATGCACTCAAACAAGGCGGTCATCTCCTTACGGACCTTGGCATCAAGTGAGCTCCATGTAAAATGTGTCAGCAATTTGTCACCGAGATATGCTACGACAAAATGCTTACACAGGGAATGGACGTGGTTGTATGATTCTGTTGCTCTGGCCGTGATATCCTCATCGCTGCAATCCTCAGACGAAATTGACTTGAGATACGCCTCGGTCACGATCTCAAAGTCTTCGATCTTGTTCTCCTTACGCGTTTCAATTGATCTAGATCCAAAAATTATCATCATGGCATCAATTTTTTCGACCAGACCATTATCCTTGTAGTGCGCAATTGCTCGACGGAGTTGATCTTGCAGATGCTCTATAAGTCGCAAAGTAAGAATATTAAAACCAAAATACTGTTACAAGATAAACCGAAAATGTTCGATATTTCATACCTGCTGACTCTACTGCGAGTGGCTTTTGGATGGAGGCCTTGCTGTTGGATCTTTGAAGCTTTTTGAGTTGACTGCAGCACTTACAATGTTCTCCAGATTTCAGGTACATGTGATTGCTCACGGCTACAGGAACATTACGAAATCCACGATTCATATCTGCAGTTAACTGAGCAAACTTAGTCTCCCACTTTGCTTCCATACGTTTGATGGCAGTTTCGTAAAGACGGATAAAATCGGCGTTGGATAATGCAATATTGTTGGGGTTCATGTTATAAATTTTAAAAATAATTATTTAGAATAATATCAATGATTTAGTATAAATGTTTAGTATTTATAACATTTTGTCAGTTACTTAGCTTCGATTTGTATGGTTCGCATACACCAATCACAGTATTGTATCATTAGTCTCCTTCTTGTTATTCTATACATTTGTTTATTCTTATTACTCTATACAAGGTAAACATAAAGACAATCAGATTCATTTCAATTGTTGTCAAGCCCACAATTGTCAATGGTTCTGATGCTTCTCTAAGCCACCCACACGACATAATGGCGCGTTATGTCAGCAACGTATATGTTTGATATGAGTAAAAATATTTGAGGATTTATATCGATTTGAACGAAGTTCTCGTATAACTAGTGATTGGGGTTAATAACTACTTTTTAAATTCTACTATGTTGTAGAAAAAATTAAAAGGTATATTTTTGCAAGCAAAGTTATTCAAATTGGATAATTTCTGATGGAGCTATGAACGATAGTAATATTAGCAGCATGTAATTTTTGATTGGGGCGTGGATTTTTTATGTAGGGCGAAAATTTTTGATGTAGGGGGAGATAGGATTATTGGGCTCGGGTGACATGTCTGGGGGGAATAAAAAATGAGTTTACAAAAAAGGAAATTCTGAAAAGTTTGGCGATAGCCAAACTTTTCAGAAATTTTGAGATATAAAAGCCCTCTAGAGCGCTCTAGATAGCAGTTTGTGTTAAAAAATTGTGTTAATAAAGTGTATTTTATTAAACTTATTTGTTGAATTTAAAAGATAGAGTAATAGTGATAATAATAATAAAAAACGAAGGATAACGTAAAAAATTCTAATTGATTGAAGCTGGACTTTGACATTTTTTTCTATCCCAAACACCTTCGCAGTCTTTACGCTTGCAATTCAGGCAAATAGGGTTTTTGCAGTTGGATCTTTTCATTTTTCCGTTGCAAAGAACAACACCGCATCCCTTACATGATTTCTTTAAAGTTGGGGGTTCTTTTGAATAAGGATGGTATGTTTGGGCAACTGCATTAGACCTATTGTAATCGGCTGTTCTACTTTGGATTTGAGGCAGGTTGTTATTGTTATATATAAATGACGCTGTTGTGTGTTGAGGAGATATTCTATAGTAATAATTGGTAACATTGGAACTGATAGATGAGGGATAAATTGCAGGCGTATTTTTCTCAGGTAACGGAATTTCCGTGGCAGGGAGTTGAATAGGCATGGTAGGAGCAGTTAGCACATTTTGATTATTACAAATATTAGGTAGAGATGGTATGACAAACGGCAAGTGTGAGCTGGTAGAATTTTTTTGCTGAATTTGGAGTTGTATATTTGTCATAACACTGTAATGAATTTCACGAGTGTTACGGGCAACTTGTTGTTCTTTCCAATGCTTGTAGTGCTTCTCTAAATGTTCTGGAGTTTTATAAAAGATTTTATCTCCATTGCATAATAAGTTCCAAGCTTTGGAAAGCTGATCGAAATTAGGATTAACTCTTGACGATGAATGCATAGCTTCGTTTATCATTTTCCCAAACAAAAGTTTTTCTTCCAAAGTATGAACAGCAATAACCGCATACTTTGTTTTCTGACGTGTTGCTACATAGTGATATCGACAATTTTTTTCCCTGAGGGTAGAACCTATCTTCAAAAAAACTGTGTTTTTCATTTTTGGTATTGTGTTTTTGTTTTCAATATCGAATTCCTGTCCATCTAAGCTTTTTTTTTTGTTATCTTCAGCAGCCTTTTCAATACACAGTCTTGTCATTTCTTCATCTGGTAATGGACATATACCGAATACTTCTTGAGAGCTACGGAATCTCAGTGCATTTACTTCAATTGCTATATGTCTATCGATGCTAAGATAGGGCATATCCATTGACTGACGCAGAAAGTCTAGATGCTGAGTTAACCAAGGATCGTAATGACCTTTGTACTCTACTCCAAATCTATTAAAAGTTCCAACGTCAAAGTTGTGTCGTAAACGATATTCAACCAACATAGCCGAAGCAAGTTCAGGCCCTGCACCGAAAGACCCAAACTTTCTAATAAGGTTTTGATGAACCCCCCCTTCTAAAGAATTTGTTCCTCTTACACATCTGTACAGAGTAAGCCCATACTTGTCTTTCTTTCCTTTTTGGTAGTAAAGCTGAACACCAGGTGGATCTGATACGTGACCTAGCTGTACTGTCTTCAAAACACTTAGAGCTTGGGACCAAGAAACTTTATCAAACAAAACTCGTCCTGACTTTGAGCATTTTAAAGGTCCAAAAGAAAGAAACAGCGATTGCAATACCGGTAGAAGTACATTAGGAGAAGATATTTTTCGTTTAACTCTCTCCCAGAGCCATTTGCGATCGTACTTCATTTTCATTTCCCACGTCTCGTAATTATCTTGTAAAGCCTTCGTAACCAATGCTTTATCAGCTTCGTCTAACACGAAAAGGCTATCACTGAATCTTTGCATAAACTCCTTATAAAGACCATGTTGCTTATATGGCTTTATCATATCCATCAAGTGAAATGCATCCTTTACTACACGTGAGTAAATACGATCATCATTACTACTTTCCGAGGTAATTTCATTGTCAATGTTTAAACTAGAGGTGAATAACACATATCCATGCTTAAATGTATTTTTATCCACACTGGTAGCGTTATCTTTAAACATTGTAGTAAAAGCAATATCAATATCCGCCTCACTAGTAGCCGAGTTTGATGCAGTTGTTGAAGGATTAATACGTGATTGAGACCTTAATACGCCTTGGATTGCACTAGAATTTTGGCGTTCGGATTGGGTGTTTTGAACCTCTGAACTTGTTGCAGTCATAAGATCAGCTTTAAACACTGTAATTACAAATTCAGGTTCGGTAAACGAACTTAAGGGCACTAAAGTCGGAACATCTCTTCTTTCAGTTGCTGGTAAGGCAATCCCATTATCTTGCTTTACCATGTATCCTGGCACATTTACTTTCAGAACTCTTAGAAGACAAGAGTTTTTCTCTACACTGCTATTGTTTTCAGGCTGCTCAATTCGACCCGAAGCAATGACATGCTTCAATCCTCGCGGTTTTAAATCAACAAATACTCTTGGAACACAATTTTTCGAAGTTATACGAGATCCAGCCTCTGGAACTTTCTTAACAGCTTCGAAAATGGCAAGACTAGCCCAAGCATCCAAGGCAGCATAGGCAATCTGTTCAGATGTGAGTGCCATACTGGACCAGTGACTTTCCCGCTCATCCTTTTTTATCCCTTGTCCCAGCACACGGAGAGCAATACCTGACAATGATAAAGTACCGTTGGGAATGATTTTTCTTGACGAACAAAACGAGCCCAACTCAATCTTTCCTCTGCAGCTAACGTTTAAGCTTCTCGAAAGTCTGCTCAAATCACCACCAATTTGACGACCAACCTTTTTTACAGATTCATTTTCCAGGATACTCACCAAAGAAGTAGGCAGAGAGGTCCAACATCTGTCAATGTGTAACACATATACCTTTTTCTGAAACGCTAATTGGACAACATCTACTTTGCAAATAACTACTCCTTGAGAATAGCTAATATCCCATTCACAATCAAGGCCTATAGCTGCTTCACCATTGATTCTTACTGATGATTCAATTTCTTCATGTAAATGCTTTACGGAGCTTTCCATTAAATCAAAGTCGCGACAGATGTAGGAGACTTTAACAGCATCAGGCAACTGAAGGTAATTACAGCTATTGGATCCATTACTATTCATTTCATCAACCGAAGTCGGCTTAACACCTTCTTTCAACGATTCGAATATTCCTTCAACAAATGTTTGGTCACCTTTGACGTTATCGGTATAAAAAGCGATTGGCATTTCATGTCCATAGTCAGTATAAGCTTTTCTCATTTTCTGAAAAGAATGCTTCAAATAGGACAATGCTTTTGATGGAACTAAAACTTGGTGCACAATTTCCTCATATTCGTTGGTCATGGTGTATAAGCCTGTGAAAACACTTGTATCTTCAATTTTAGCCATATGCTTTGGAAACTTAAACGAATGATCTCCTTTCAAAATCTTTCCATCCAAAAGCATCATATGCTTGTCCATCTTGGGTTGAAGAACCTCAATGATTGCTGTATATAATGTTCGAATGTACACAACCAGTTGAAAACTTTAAATATTTCTTAAATTCTGCACCAAAAAGTAAATTCCCGTGTCAGAATTTTTTTTCAAAAAATAAAACTTTGCGATTGGGCGAAAAAACAAAATACGTGATTGAAGGCCAGATGTTATGAAATAAACAACTGAATGAAGGTTTTGTGCACCTTGAAAACTACTTTAGCGTCTTTTATGGGGGTCAGGATAGCGATTCGTGCAGCTAAGCATTTTTATTGGATAACAAAATGGAAGAGACTTTTATTTTTTTGAAAAAATGACATGTAAAAAAAAACAAAATGATTAGTTTCTTTCATTTTCTAAAATTTTGAAATAACGATTAGTGTTATGGAGCCACCAGAAAGTACCGAACTTGCACTTGTTGATAAGAGAATACTTGACAGTGTCAATCTCAGTTTCCTGAGACATGTCAAGTAATTCCACCACAGTCAGTTTATACTTCAGCAAGTCCAAGATTTCTTCAGTTTTCTTGGTGAGGAGATTACCACCTTCGTCAGCTTGATAGACAGAAATGAGGCTACTGTCATCGTGAATCACGAAGGCTGGCCTGGGAACAAGTTCATACACCTCAACAACAGCCTGATCGCCGCGAAGTTTTACCACCTTTCCAAGCAGACGACGCGCCCCAAGAGAATCCAAGTCAACATCGAGAATAGCCGTCATGTTCAAAGCAATCTTCTTTCCAGCAATATATTCAGTACTGACGAATTCCCGATTAGCAGAATAGTACATGTCCTCACTGTACCTATCGAACCACGCTTTGACCAGACTACCACGAGTTTTCATACCGTTATCCCAAACAAGACCCATCGCAATACTTCTCAGCATTACCTCACGACCGTTAATAAGAGCCAAATCACGAGAAGGGTTTTGTTTGTTGGTCTTCATAACAATTGCCCTAATGTGTTTGTTAAATTGCTCGTTCTTTTCAGTTGCGAGAAGCACAGGAGAAGCAAATCGAAGACAATCCTCTACCAAATGGACTATCAAATGAGTCTTTAAACGATTACACAATGGACCACCAGTTTTGGCGTATGGAATCGTAGCACCATTAGATTGTTCACCAGAAAGACCATAGATCTCTTCAGAAGTAGTTTGACTGGGCACTGATGCAGTTGTCGTTGCTGTTGCTGGCTCTCCACGAGTACGTCGGTTACTGGGAACAACGGTACGATCAAGGTTATCCAGAGCAATAACAGTATCATCAACGGATTGACGCAATAAATCGAGATAGGCAGAAAAGTTGGTATGTATTTCACAGTTATAACACAATGAGCAAAGCTCACCAAGCTTGTCAAAAGTACTAATAACGTTATCCATTCGGTGGAATTGATCATTACGAAGGTTGAGGAAATCAATGTGGCCACGAGCAACTCTGAGAACAATTGGGAGCATCTGAATCATAAGTTTGAAGTCTCTTCCAAGAAAGCTTTTGTATCCTTTGAGATGCGTCGACAAATTGGTAAAAGCCTTAGACCCATACTTTGCACACAAAATACTAATGCGATCAACCTGCTTCTTGTTGAAAAAGCAATCAGCAGCTTTGTTGAACGTGTATTTGATTAAACCGAGACATAGGCCATGCAGAATTTCTACCGGTGTATCCTTGCTAGGATCCCAAGAAGACAACGTCAAAAGCCTTTTGCCAGCAGTTTCCTTGAAGCCGAGGTCCATCAAGTTTTCGACCATGATATAGTCACCCTGTCTGTTACGAACACGTATCGAGAAATCAGTACTATCCGAGTCATCGCTTGGAAATAAACTCATCCAGTGACCTTTTTCTCTTGGAACTGACATGTGTTCTTCCGCCGTGGTAATTCCATTAGGATCAAAAGCATCAGCATGTCGACACCAGAAGCATTTTCTACACGGATAAGTAGCTGTTGAAGCTTTCAAACAAGAAACCTCGGCATGACGAGGATTGTCAGCCTTGATAAACAAAAGAGGAGCAACAACAAAGACTTCTTCCTTGAGAATAGCATCAAACATCGGCAGACCAGTTTCCAGTTTCTTTAAATCGGGGACAAGGGAAGGCAACTGTTCCATAGCAGTATGGCTATTTGATCCACATATAAAAAATTGATTCAAATAATGATTGGCAACGCTAAGAGGAACAGCGGCAGGATTCATCGACCACGAATCGAAACAATTCCATTTTGATGTGGAATTACCACTGGTATCATCAGAGAAAAGGTTGTACGGAATTACTCTAACGACCTGGTAGTTTGGCGAATTGGGATTTATGCTTCTTATACGTGATCTAATGGGCAGTGGACGCTTGTACTTATTACCAGTATCAATCATGTCATGATGAGCGCGAATCAATCGAGTATTAGCAACAACATCTCTAGAACAAAGATAATCGTCACCATTTATTTGTTGTAAGCTGGTAAATGCATCGAAGGATTCATGTTCGGCACGAAAGACATTATTGATGTCAAGGTCGGTTATGGGACAGTGGAGAAGGATGTCGTATAAACAGCACATTTCAAGATTATTATCGGGTTTAATTGGATACAAATCAACGTTCACAACTTTTGATATTTGGAATATCTTGGCCACTTTAAAATAATGGCGATCACGAAGAGGAATATTGCTCTCAGACAGCAAAGAGACTTTATCCGATACCCAGAGTTGAAGATTTGGACCAGTAATTATTATGGGATGCTCAAACAATCTATCACAATTCCACTTTTCACCTTGACTTAGCTTGATTCGTTGGTTAGGTGTTCGATCAGGAAGATCTGACAGGAAACCAGACATACAGGGATTACCTACGAGAAGTCGCAAGTGTTCAGATACATCATTAAGAAACAAGTCAGGCTTTGATGCGACAACAACAGGAACAGCGGGTGCAGAAGCAGTTGTATTTGTTGTTGCAGCAGGATCAGTGGCAGGAGCAGAGGTATTGGCAGAAGCAGAGGTAGAGGCAGGAGCAGAGGTAGAGGCAGGAGCAGAGGTAGAGGCAGGAGCAGAGGTAGAGGCGGGAGCAGAGGTAGAGGCAGGAGCAGGAGCAGAGGCGTCAGCTGCTGTAGCAGTACCAGATGTGCTAGTTGATGTGGCAGGTTCAGTAGGTTCGACAAGAAGTCCGCCCTTATCATCTTTCGCACAATGGGGAGCATGAGGAAAACAAGGTATACAACTTTTCTTGGATTTGTGAAATCTGGAAACGCTGTGGGGAGTGGGATAACCACGGAAATCATAAATAACATCAGAAGGATCCAAAGCTAGTTGAGCTCTGTACTCTTTGATTGCAATTTCAGCCATATATTTACCAAAATCAAGAACTGATTTGATTTGGACTTCTGAATACTTAAAGCTACCAGACTTGAAGAAAAGAAGGGCATGCATTATGTATTCATTTTTGAAAGGATATGCTGGATTGTCGTTGACATCACCACTCAAATCAAGATATTCATCATTACCATCATCACCACCATCACCATTAGAGCCGTTGTTGACGTCGTTAACAGGAACGGGAGGTTCATTAGATTCGCTATCATCATCAGATTCCCCTCCGTTGTTAAAATCATTGTTGAAATGGTCAAAGGCATTACCACCATCGAATTCTTCTTCACCATCATCACGCCCATCATCATCACCGTCACCATCATAATCATCATATTGATTTTCATCAAATTCATTTGCAGGTTCAGACAATGGTTCGGCAGTGCGTTCAGGTTGGATTGGTCTAATGTATATTGATGTAAGTAATTTGAATATATTTAACAGCCTTAAATAACTTTACCTTTCAATGGACTCCATATCAGAACTACGAGATTCGCTTAGCGGGATAGTAGGTTGTTCGTCAGAGGTATTCCTACAAATAATAATGATAAGTACAAACTGACTATTTTTAAATTGATGAAGACGCTCACTTACTGTTGTTGGATGTCATTGGCAGGTAGTGATCCTTGATTGGACTGAATTGCCTCCAGAAGTTCTAAGTGGTGTCCTGATCTTTGATGCACTTTAAAAGAGTGTCGATTAATTGTACTGTATTTACATAACACACACGTTTGCTCCTGAGGCGGTAAAGCAGGTTTTGCACGGAACTTATTTGTTCCAGGTGTTTTTTTCATAGTGTTTTAAAATTAAAGTAAGTTGTTTATAATAAAATAAAGAATTTTGATAAAGTGCACTCTGGGGATTGTGTTTGGTTTATATATCGTTCAGATCAAAAAATGTGTTTAATGCTTAGCTTATGCGGACATAAGCTGTCAATTTGATTGGTGCAATAATTTACAAACGTCATTGCGGAACGATATTTTGTCACGCAACCCAACTTTCTTAGGTCGCTTTTCTTTCTCTTAAGTATTTTTTTTAACCGTGGCGTGTCTTCACAAACGCGTGATTATTGCTTGTAATATTATGATGCTTATGAACAATGGTATGTCATAGAACATCTGTCATAACAATACTATCATAAGGCATTCTACTAATTCTTCTCTCACATTCAATTTAATCAAAGTCAAACGCGAAAAAGGTAGCTATTTCATGACTTATGCAATAATATAATCTTCTATCCCCTTTTACTTTCAAGATGTGTATCTATAAAGGTATACTTTATTCTGTACTGTGCTTCCCTGTAATAATATATCATTAACAAACGCCTTTTTATTTTTTAGAGGCTCTTTTCTCTTTGAAATACCGTAGGTAATATCTTGGTGATTATTTTACATCCTAAACTAATACATAACGCGTTTCATTTGTCAATAGATATATCGCGTAAAGCTTCATACAAGGTAATATAATTTTAACATTAATCATTATCCGTTTTACTAAACACATTATTCACTTTATAAATTAGCTCGTGATACTGCTTAAGCACGGATAAAATGTAAGTACAACATCTACCACAGACACTTGAATATCACATTAATACCTTTTTCCGTAGCTTCAGCTCAAACAGAATCAGTTTTGCGTGGGTTTTCTAGCTTGAATTCACTGTCTGCTATACGTGTCATACGTGGCCTGTCTGGGCTACGTGGTCTGCCCTGTCTGTCAAGGCTGAATAGCCTGTCTGGTCGGCCTGCGTAGCCCCGAGGGGCAAACAGGCGCTTTTTGCCGGTTTCTGATTTTGTGGGCCAATTTTTTATATAAATAAATTTCGCTTTTTAAGGCAATTTTAAAAAAAAACTATTTTCGTATTTTGTATTTGTATTTTATTGTTTTGTTTGTACAGCAAGGAAACGTAAACAAAACCACAAAACCAAAAGGAAACAATTTTCATATCTATTTTTACTTTTTTTTTTGGGAAAAAAATGGTCTTGAAATTTTAAAGTTTACACCTGGTTGTGTAGGTTCCAGTGGGTACAAATCCAGCATATTTTTTTTGATCATTGAATGAAGAAAATCTCTCGGGGGGTGAAGTCGCAAAATATTGAGAGATTCCGTTTCTTTTCTTGTACTCAGAAAGCAAATATTGAAGTTCAATTCTATCATGATGAAGTACGTGAAGCTCACGAAGTATCTTTTGAAATCTCTCTGGACCAACAGAGTTTTGAATACAGGGTCTCAGAAGATCGGCAATTACTTTTGATATACCTCCTCTGTGAGAAAGAACGGCGGGAAACTCGACTTGCAATTCAAGAGGAAGCTGTTCAATGATTTCTGGATCATGTGCATTATACGAAGCACCACATTTTGAGTCACAGCATCTATATCGCATTGACATAAGGTAAAAACAACTAGCGTGTCAAAAAAGTAGGGAACGAGGTTAGCATGCATGAGACATAAAAAACTCTTCCCTGTAATACCTGAACATATCCACAATTCTTCGAGCGTGAGGCTTTTTATTGTAGCCTTTTGTCTCAAGCTTCTTGTTGCAATTGTTTTTAGTACATCTCAGTCGTCCCAAACCTTTGTTGAGTAAAAGATGGGGAATCCAAAGAAATACTCGTGGTCTATATAGATAGTTGATTTCCTTTTTCGATTGAAGAGCGAAAAAGGTCATCATGGGCTCTATCCAAAACGTACCGTTGTTGTACTCAGAAGGATATCCTTCGTTTGTTAAACGAATTTGAAGGTTCTCAAAATACTCGGTCAGAACACTATTTTCGGGTAATACATCATTCATTTCCTCCTCAACTGAATTTTCCACTGGATCTTCAACTAGATCCTCAACTAAATCCTCATTCAAAACATTGACTGGTTCTTGGACTAGATCTTCGCTTTGTTCCTGAATTGTGACATTGACATTCTAAAATTTTTACAAAAAAAGAAAATGAAAAAGAAAAAGAAGGCATGTCAACTCAAATAACTACTAACTATTCCATATTTTCAAAACGTTAAAAGACTAGAATCGACACTCACCTCGACAACTGGACCTGTATTTCTAACTGCATCGTTTAAACGGTTAACAATTCTGCTTAATGTAGGTTGGTTTCTGTCAAATCCTTTCGTAGAAGAAAACTTCGAGGTTTTGTAGGTTTTTCCAACTTTTTGCTTGGCCATTTAAGAATAGTTAAGAGGAATCAAGATCTAGTAAAGGTGTGAACGCTGACAGCTTATTTATTGTAGTTCTAGAAGAGTTTTTTTTAAATGACCGATGGTAATTTCGCAACCGACGGTAATCTCAAAACCTATTGGCTTACAATATCCAATTATATTGCTTATTACCAGCGGAGTAGTCCCCAGACACAGCAGCCTCGCCGATTATTGTTCATCCCGGAGTTTTAAAAAAAGTTTTTTTTTTTTTTTTTTTTTTTTTTTTTTACAGCGTACGGTTGATTTCTCAGAGTATGGCATTGTACGCGTTATAACTTTTTGGATTCCTCACTATATTAACATGCATTACACTGCGGCGTGATAAAAAGAATGATTTAACCCTCAAAGTGACTTCCAGCGCGCTGTATTAGTAGAAACCCCATGCCTTTTTTTTTTTTTTTTATTTTTTTTTTGGGGGAGGCGGGTAGCATTTTGAGCTGCGCTTTTTTTTTTAATTTATAAAAATCCCAAGTGAGAATCGAAAAGTCTTAAAAATTAAGTGGGTGTTGACTGAGAATCGAAAAGTCTTACAAATTAAGTGGAAAAATGATCACTTAAAAATGATCACTTAACTATGTGTTCGTTTTATGAATGCTGTTAGTCATAATTTCTGAAATTCAAGCTTGGTTTTACTTTCTTTTCTCGTATCTATTTAACATGAATTCGTATTGGAATATTTTGTATTTATGTAAGACATATTTATTGGGCAAAAGATGGTTCATCATAAGTTGTTGATATCATCACAGAGGCGAATCCATGGTACCAGGTTTTTATTTAAAGCAGTATTTATAATTTGAAACAGTCAGCACACAACATCTTAAGAATACATTATCCCGAGCCTTTCACATAGTTTTTATGCAGTAAGATTGAAGTGAATTAAAAATATTGATATGTCTGATCATAAATCGTCAAGTATTACACTCCTCTTCAGTTGAATACGTTCTCACGTTGTAGTCATATCAGTTCTTTTTCTTACTGATAATAATGGGCTTCTACTCTACACTAGCTATCAATCTGACATCTTTATCCTCTTTATTTTTTAACAAATTGCTAAAATTCTAGACTCATAGAGATTATCGTTATTAAATCCTGCGAAATGAGCTCTCGAACTTTACTGCTGGTCAAAGGCTGGGCATTTAAAAGTTTCGAGACAGATACAGTCGTCCGGTCGTGACGAGAGTAAGGAACATTAGGTGTTATTAGGCCTATTTCGAAACTGTAGCTGCATTTGGAGACAAAAGGCGTTTTGACTTTCTAAACTTTTTTATAATGCTGTTAAAATGGAAGCTCCAATTATTTACGTTTTTGGATGTAAAGTACATGCTTCTTCAAATCCAATGCAAAGGTCAATAAATTTGTGTTTGCTGAACTTGTAGTGTTCGGTGCTGTGTGTTGTCGATTATAAACATGAGCAAAGTAATGTATGATGTTGGACTAGAAATCATTAAGAAAAGAAAAAAAAAAAAGAAAAAAAAAGGTAAATAAAGCCAGGAAAAAAAGAAGTTATATTGGGGGTGTGGGGGGTCAAGCCCAAAAAAAAAAAAGTTTGTTTATCTGGCCATAATTATGAATTTTCGATTTTTATTAAAGGGTAATTTCTTTAACATAAAAATACAGAGACGTCTCAAAAAAAATTCCCCTTCTAATGGTGCTAGTTTGGTAAAGATAGCTTCAGAATTGATGGTTTTACATGTTTTTTAATAGATGGGGGGTGTCCCTATGTCTGGGTTTTATTTTTATTTTGATTTTGTTTATTCCTATGAATGGATACGATAAATTGTCAGTTAATGTTATATCCCCATACTTTAAATATCCCACGTATATAAAAAAAAATCTCGTTCTAATGGTACTACTTTCATCGCGATAGCTTTAAAACTAATGTTCTGGCACGCTTATTATAAATGGGGGAATTGTTCTGAGTTCCAAAAAGTATTGATTTATTAAAAAAAAAAGAAAAAAAGAAAAAAAGATGATACTACCAGCTCGAAATCGTGAGCCAAAGTCATGATACAAGACTGATCTCGGGACTGCTAATGCATACAGCTGTGATCTACGTCGTATCAAAATTTGGTCATGAAAGGTCAAGTACCCGTCAAATAGACAGTGGATGTGAGATGTCGGTTTCGTCGTTTGTATGATGGATGTGATAATAAAGTTGGATGATACATTATCAGAAAAACAACGTAGTCTTGTTGATGATACATTCACTAGATTATTCAATAGGAAAGATAACTGTCATCAGTGTATAAGCGCCAATAGTGATGTTCATTTTTTATCCTTATCCCAATCGTCATTCCTCCAAGTAACTATAGTGACGCTGATCTGTTTATAAATAAACAATATTTTATAGACATGGTGTGAATCCGTCGTAATGCCTCACCCAAAATAGTGTTATTCAGTCTACTCATTATCGTAATCCAAATACCTTGTTAAAAAAAAAGAAAAAAGAAAAAGAAAAAAGGGTGGTTACCTTTCTGCTTCTTACTGATGATATCGCTGCCCATCTTTTGCAATATCGACAATCCACTCTTTATTATATAGGTATTTCTAACTTAATTATCGCACTTATGTTGACTTGGATATACATTATCTAAAGAAAAAAAGAAAAAAAGAAAAAAGATAAGATCGTTCCGATTATATAGCCCTGCTGCCACTCAGCCTGTGACTTGATTCAGCATCACACTACCATTTTAAAGCTCTTGCACAACATCATACGTCGGGGATGCTCTTGTTTTTTTCCAGTGAACGATATGTTTTATTTCAATAGACAATTATTCTTCTTTTAGCACTAGGAATTTTATTTTTATAAAATGTATTTTATTTAACAAAACGCTTAATTGCGTCTTTTACGTCTAATTATTTCAACTGCATCGACATCAGCACCAAACTTTCTTTTAATTTTCAAGGGCATCTCAGAACCAAAAAAGTAAAGATCCTCCATCTTTCGTACACGCGACATCGCAACATAAAGCTGACCATGTGAGAGCATGTTATCTAAATGAATGCCCACACAGTCAATTGTAGCACTTTGAGCCTTGTGTATAGTGGTGGCAAAGGCTGGGACTATAGGAAACTGAGTCCTGCAATAGCTGGTGTTGGGAACCTGGCGGCTGATGCGTTGAATCCAGTAGATGACATCGTTTCTGTTTGGTAATCGCTTTCGTAGACAGATGTTTTCCTCCTCCATATACTCAATTTGAGCAATTGTACCGTTCACCCATCCAGTTGGTACGTGAAGGTTGTGTATCAGCATAACCGGCATTTGAGGCTTGAGCAGCAAAATCTCCAACAACCTTGTTTCCCGTAAAGCCATTTTTGCAGTTCCTTTGTTACCAACATGATTATCTACAGACCGGTATTCGTGACCCTCACCAGGAAAACTCGCAAAATCCTTTTCGTTGGCACTTGTTACACGTTCCCGAGTAGTGTACAGACGCAGGCAGGAAAGGGGAAGCTGAGACTTGTGAACATTCTTTTGTTTATAAAATCGATCACTGACTCATCGAACTGATAATCTCGAACCTTGTTAAGTATGCCAATGAAATATTCATCTTGTTGTCGAACAGGGTCATGAAGAGAATAGCGAGGTACAACGTTGAAAATTTCAGATTCCCAGATTTTACCCTCCTTTGTTTGAATGGGAAGCAATTGCGCAACACCACCAGAAAGAATGGTTTTGACACCGCCCATAATTGTAGCTCTTTGCGTAGTTGTGGTGATCCACCTACTGTTGTTACTAATCACACCATAAAACAATATTAAAATTAAATCTCACTTCATCACCCCATACATTATTACATCACAACACGAACTAATTTCTTATACATTATATCATATCCAGCTACAAGCACTATTTTAGTGCTGTGTAACTTATCCATCAAACTAAATTCATAATCCGATTTCTCTTAACATATATAAATATGCAAACTGATAGTTAGAATAGAACCCTCTGAATCTTTTAATCTACTTTTACTCTTAATAAAACTTATAAGCAGTCTCAAATTATTTTATTGTTTTTCTTTATCTATCTCTATCCTCAACTATCACAGTAGTCTTGACCAAGGCATCGTTGATTGCTTCAAGAAGTTTTGAGTTGATCATTGAGTACTCGTCGATTAGAAGCAGAATCTTGGGATACGTCTTGACATATTGGTCCAGAATCAAAAAGTTTGGGACAGCAGATGTGTTGGTGAGACCAAAAAAGTGATGGATGGTTTGACCGTATATGTTGTGAGCTGTGACACCGGTTGGTGCTAACTTAAAAACCTAACATTATTGTTGTATCGCAGATGTATTGAATCATAGAAACAATAGAAATCCAATATTAGATCTCAGTAGACAGACTGGAGATCGTAATCATGGAAAGATTGTTATGAACGAATAAGAATACATGGATAAACATTTATTCAATTCAAATGGATAAACGATTGAATAGTAAATCCCGATTGGATCTACTATTAGTTTAGACACAGCTTCGTAAAAGTATAAATACGAGCTCATTCAACTCTTAATAAAAGGTTATCTTTACTTTGATTATTTCTTAAAGACCCATTTGATATCTACGATATTTCAATTATAAAGGATACAAAAATGATGAGTAACGTTTTCTTTGCTAATTTTTTTTTCCGGGTGATGGTTACCTTAAATCCCTCAAGCTTGTAATGTCTTTCCGGCATTCTTAAGACAAAAGATTTTCCAGTTCCCGCAGCTCCTGAAACAACAGCAGTTGAATTGAGTTCCAGCTCTGTAGTGATCTGAGCAAAGATACTCTTCTGACTGCGGTTTGCCATGCCATGCATCACTGCGAGCTCATCACGACAAGCATCCAACCCTCTTTCGATATCAGCAACATTGTCCAAAGATTCAATGTTGACCCGTCTATGAGCTTCAATAGTGCCTTCATTGAGTAAATGCTCGTAGAAGTCTACGTAATTGTATTATTAGTCAAAGTTTCACTTTTTTTATTA